TACATATACCTGACCATATTTAATTTTACATTTATAATATCATACATTTTAGTACAGTTTTTTTCTTTTGATTTAGCTCTCCTGTGGAAAGCAACCCTTGTGAGGAAGAACATTGCTTGCACCTTATTGCATTATTATTTTAAAAATTCCATTTTGTCTTTTCTCTGTTACTTTTACTAAAATTTAGTTTTTCAGGCTTTCTTTTTCTTAAAATGCTAAATAATAAAATGGAAAATGCAAGTCTTCTTAATTAACAACTATTAACAAAATGGCATCAAAAAAATTTTTAAGATGTCTCTTCATGCCCCTGCAGCTGGAAGGAGAGACACCATTCTTCATAAAACTACACTAATAAGGTGTGAAGTTAATAAGGGCAATTAAAAGCACATTCATCAGCTGGGGATGAGGATGGCAAAGCTCATAATTACTTTTTGTTTATTTTCTATGGACATTTTTTATCAATATATAAAGTCTATCTCTTTGATTCTTAACTTTCGGTTAGTTTTCTGCAATATTGAAATTTCTGTTCTTTTTGTTTGCCTGGTAGCTGTTTCACCAACTGCACAGGTGTTTCTTGTAAACAGCATATGGATGGATTTGGTTGCTTGACCCAGTCTGACAGTCTCTGCCTTTAAATAAGAAAATTCAATCCATTCACCTTTCCAACATGCAGTGACAATTTATTGCATTGTTTGTATGTTACTTTAGGTTTATTATTTATTTTACATCATAGTGTTGTTTCTTTTTCCATAATTTTTCTGAGTTATCTCTGTTTTTTAGTTTATTCGCTATTTGAGTCCTTTCTTGATTGTTTCTTTCAGATGGGAAAGACCTGAGTGATACAGACTCTGCATTCTTGCAAATCCTCAAATATTTATTTCACCAGCACAGGTGACTATATTTTGGCTGATGGATTGCAGCCCCTTTATTTTACCAGTCTATAGCTGCTATCTAACCATTTTCTAGCTTCAAACATTACAAATGATAAGACTAATATCATTTTTCTTTTTAGATAACTTGCCCTTTCTGCCTGAAAGCTTATGAGTTTTCTTTTTATTCTTAGCATGTAGGAATGATATCTGTATATGCCTAGTGTGAGTCTTTACTTATTAATCCAGACTGGAATGTTGTGAGTTCTTTAGATCTGTTGATTTAGGCCTTTAAAAAATTTTTCAGCCCAGAGAAATTTTCTATGATTTTGTTATTCATTTATTTCTTCACTTCTGTCCACTCCTTTTTCTCCTTCTGGAACTTTTGTGTCTGCATATTAGGTCTCACAGATTTATCCATTAAGCCTATTATCTTTTCTCTTCATGATTTCCATCTCTATCTTTTTTCCTCTGTGCTTTGACATATTTCTTTAAGTCCTCTAGGCAACCTCTTGGGTCGCAAAAGTGACCATCTCTAATTCAATTGCTAAATTGCTTGATTAGAAAGAGATAGGGACAGATATAGATATCTTGTCTTAAATTTTAATTTAAATTTTAAAACTATTATATATACTTTTTTAAATTCCAAAAAGTCCTTATGCTGTACTTGATGCTCTTTTTTGTTATTCATATTGTCATCTGCTGTTCTAGTAGTTATATTTCCCAAGATGCACATTCTGTTTGTTTCTACCCATCATTCTCTGGCAACTGGATCCCCTTGAGTTTTTGTTTTGGGGATTTTTTTTTTTTGGTCAGTTCATTGAGGTTCAGATCTGGTTAATGGAGTATTTTAAGTGTTAGCAGTCCCACAGATAGGGAAAGACAAAGAGGCAAGGAGGTCTTTACTGCTGCTGGCTGTTAAATAGAAGCATGAAGCCTGCTGTTTTCCTACTGAGGCACCTGGATAAAACCCTCTTATTCGCTAGTCTCCTTATAATCTCTCAGACTCAGCATAGGGGACAGTCAATCTACATGTTCAGCTTCTTCTTGGCCTCTTGGGAGTCAAAGAACCCTAGTATATTTATACAGGTCTCCTAAGGGGGCCACGGATCTGAGGGGGCCAGGCTCTTTTCAAGAAACACCACGTTCAAGTCTCTTACCTAGGCTTTGATGCTGTTCTCCACAATTTTATCCAGCACATTAGCAAGGAGGTGGAGAGAGGTCCAACATCAGGTCTCTAAACCACTGCTCTAAGCTCAAGGTTTCTCTCCATAAGCCCCAGTTCTCTGATTTAGGAGAAGCAGACAGGTAGAGCAGGGAATAGAAGAGCTCATTAAGCAGCCGTTTCTCAGAGTCTCCCCCATGATCCACATCTAACTTTAACAGAGAGCTACTGCGAATGACCTTATGAAATGGGAGATGTATTCACTTTTTTTTGTGTGTGAGGAAGATCAGCCCTGAGCTAACATCCATGCCAATCCTCCTCTTTTTTTGATGAGGAAGATTGGCCCTGGGTTAATATCTGTGCCGAACTTCCTTCACTTTATATGGGACGGCGCCACAGCATGGCCTGACAGTCTATCTGTGCCCGCCAGGATCCGAACCCTGGCCGCCAGCAGGGGAGCGTGCGCACTTAACCGCTATGCCATGGGCCGCCCCGTACTTACTTTCTTTTATATGAAAAAGCCCTGATTTTTCCCAGTATTCTCCAACCTTGACATGGAGAAGTACTGTGTCTGAGGTGAAAGGCCTTAGGGATTAGTGTTCTTAATTAATTAATTCACAAACAATCGGTTGTTTGAAACAAAACCCTGGGTTCCACTTCCCTCTCAAAATTAGTTCAAAAAAGCTCAAAATGCAGGAGACCTAGTTACACCCCTGTTTAACTAACACCATAGTTTAGTCTTAAAGCACTCTTTAAAAATGAGACTATAAGTTAAATAATGACATCAACAGCTAACATTTGATGTTTTTGTGTGCTAGGAATGCTAAAAAGCAAATTACATGGATTATCCCACTTATTCCTTAACAATCAGCACTAATATTCTACTGGTTGGAAGCAGCATGGCAGAGCATCCCACCTCCAGTGCTCCTTCTTACTGGTCAATGTCTGCATTCAGGATTTTGACTATCAACTATAACTATTTAACCATATTAAAATCTTCATCTTACAGATGAGAAAACTGGGGGTGAAAGATTAAATAACTTGCCCAACATCACCTAATGGGTAACAATAACGGGGTTTTAAAGTCAGTTCTGTCAGATAGCAAAGCCCAAGCTCTTAAATGCTATGCCATATTGTCTCTGATGTTTAAGCCAGGGCGGAGTCTATGCACTATGACTTTCAAAATGTAGTCTTGGGAGTTGTAAGAAATTCAGGTGCCCATTTCGTGGTGGGAACCACAGACATAGGCCCTGGACCACTCACCCCTGCTAAACATTGGCCTGTAAATGCATAGTTAATATTAATAGAGTACTTCCTATGTGCCAGGGACCGGTTTAAGCATTTTGACTACACTAACTCAGTTAATTCTGACAACAAGCCTGTAAAATAGTTATTATTATGCCTATTTTAAAGGTGGGGAAACGAACACAAAAAGGTTAAGTCATTCCGCCAAGATCACATCACCGATAAGTGGTATAGTCAGATTAGAATCCAAGGAGTCCCTTGCTTTTCAAGACTACCCTAACAAAGGTTCCTTGCCTAATAAATTGTTGAATACTACTGATCCAGCTCAAGTTTGAGAGAAAGTGCTTAAGGAATTGAAAACATTTTCCTAAGACAACACACTCTACTAGATAATAGGAGCAGGTGCTTGGATCTCTTTCTGCTGTTCCCAGGACACCTAGAAGGGGCAGCTTGCCACGGCTCCACCTCGGTCCCCCCTTGCCTTTCCCGTCTCTGCCTCAGTCTCCAGAGGAGCCCAGGACTGGGCAGGGAGAAGGGAGGGAGGAAAGCCCGAGCGAGCCGACAAGCGCATTGGCAGGAGCGAAGCGGGTCCCCGGCAACCATAAACCGGAATTTGCAAGGTCCTCTTCGCGGCTGCGTGACTCCAACCTCGAGTTTAGGGACGATGCTAGAGCCGAGCTAGTGCGGTGCCCATTCCGCCGAGGGCGGGGTACAGCAGCGCAACCACCCAGCGCAAAGGCGACCTGACAGCAAAGGTTTTCCCCAGGTTCCCGCTGAGGGGTTCCGCGCTCGCGGGTTGTGAGGGACCCCAAATTCTCCGATGCCGCTCCCTCATTTCCCTGAACTCCCCCTCCCCGCCCCCTTCCCAGGAGGCCTAAAAACGCCTAGAATACTCCTATTTCTTTAGTCTCGGGGGTGGTTCGGCCCCATCCTCGGTTCAGAGCGCCCGGAACGCTGGTGGCTGAGCGCCGGGCTGCGCCCCCATCTTCCCGGCCAATCAGGAGCCACGTTCTCCGGCGCTCTCCTTTCCCGCCCCGCCTCTCCCGTCTCCATGGAAACACTCCGAGTGTCTACTCCGTGGCCTGGGGCTTCCGTTTCGGTCTAGCCGGGCAGAGGCCATTGTTTGTGTAGACTGAGGGTTTGGGCCGGTGTCCCTCCCGCTTCAGAGGCTCCGTAAGTGCCGCTGACTCTCGGGAGCACCGAGCCCGAAGCGGACAAGGGCGGGGAGAGCTGTGGCTGAAGAAAGGGTGGCAGAAAAGGGAGGGTCAGGGGCCGAGAAGCGGTTCCGGCGGAGAAATCCCGGAGACACCAGTGTAGGTGCGTCCTTCCCAGTCGGCCTCCCCAGGTTAGAACTGGAGAAGGGGAAGGAGAGGGCAGGGCGGAGGCAGCTTGGGCCCCGGGGCCCGGGTGCTCGGAGTGGGAGGTGTCGGGGTGGAGCGCGGGTCGGGGGTCTGGACGCGGAACGGAGGAGGCCACGCGCGTCTTGGCTGCAGGAGCCGAGGCCGCGCAGATTGGCCCTGAGAGCTTCAGATCCCGCTCTTCAAGAACTATTTGTGCTTCTGAATTCGGACACTCGGGGAGCCCGTGGCGCGTTGGGGCAGCCCAAACCTGTCCTGCTCTTGGAACACTCATGAATCGTTTTTCTCTCTAGAGAAAGAGGGCTCTTAACTGTTTATCATTTTCCGCAGGGACCTGTGATCTGCAAGGCAGGACCGGGGTGGCAAAGGCTCATGCCCGCATTTTACAGGTGAGGAAAGTGAGGCCCTGGGAGGTCTAGAAGTTTGGTCTTTTTCAAAGTTCTACAAGTGGTTGGTGACAGAGTTGAGACTATGATCAGGTTCTGGGAGCCCTAGATCTGGGATCCTTCTTTAAGACTCTAGGTACCCTGATAATGAATCCAGTATTTCTTTTGTAACAAGTAAAGGAGGGCAATGGAATTATCTTTCTACTTAACTGATCGCACAAAATAAGAAAATACTTTGAGTAGAAAGAACTCCAACTATTTAGAACCCGGCCCGGTGGTGTAGTGGTTAGTTCGCGCGTTCTGCTTAAGTGTCCTGCTATTATATTTATTATTTTTATTGTTATTGTTAATAATAAACTAGGAAAGCCTTGATGCTCAGAAAGGTTAAATTACATAGAGAACACCTGCATTCCCGGAGGGACTATGTGAGATCAAATGCTGTGTTTTCATGCCCAAACTAGAATTGTACCTTTGAAGTTTCTAGAGAGTCAGAAATAAGGTCCTGGGTGCCAGTCCTCATAACTGTCCTATCTAGTCCTTGAAAGGGAACAAAAATGTTCTTGGGTTCTTTCTGACCTCTTTCTAGGAGATTTGGGGGACACACCCAGTTCGTATGTGGAGATTGTAGTGAGTTTGGGAATTTCAGGGCATGCCCAGCCTTTTCATTCCTTCTTTCGTCTTCCTCAGCTCAGCCTCCTCAGCACTCCACCCTTCCCCAAAAGAGAAGCACCAAGGAGGAAGGAATGTTCAGTGTTTTCCTCATAGCCTGATCACAGGTGAGTAGGATTGTCTTTTCTCATTTATAAATTGCCGGTGATTATAAATTGCCGGTGAATTCTCTGTGGGTAGTGGGAGTTGTGGAAGTGGCAATGGGGATTGATGGACCAGATTGAATAGAAAATGTTCCTCACTTGCCTGAGAAGCTTCTAAGCTTCCTCTGTAGCGTGGTGCTGCCTCCCACCCAGTGTCTTTCCCAACGTTTACTCATTCGTTCAACCAGTCAAGTCTACTATATAATTTGTACTGTTCTTGAAGCTCGGAGATAAATATAAAAATGTCTTTCGTTAACATTGGGGAGATAAACCATATGAGGTTAATAATAATTTCTCAAGGTATCTCATGTTAAACAGTGCCAGAATGAGTGGCATTTAAAAGACAGGAACACGAACTCAGATTTGAATAATCATTATGAATAGGAAGATATCATTCCAGACAGGAAGACCGTCATTTAGTCTTAGGCACAATTTGAGGGGACAAATAAGGAAACTGGGCTAGTTGCAGTAGAGCATATACGTATGAATGTATAAGGTGAGGCCACATTGTATAGGGCTATTCGTGTTTAATTGGTTACTTCTTGTGTACCACTCGGTCCCCTGCACATCAGCAGAGGCAGCCATTATTCACATTTGGATAGATTTACTTATAGGCTTTTATTTAATACTTCATATACATGCCTACTCACTAATCTGTACAAACACTAATATGTATGCATACATATATGTATGTACAAGTGTACACCCATAGGTTTATCTAAGGTACGTGTATATAGAGAGATTAGTATATATAGAAAAATTGAATCATGACGAATAGGCTCCATGAGGGCAGGGAATGTTCCCAGTATATAGACCTGTACCTGGCATGTAATAAGCACTCAATGAATATTTGTTGAATGTATGATGGCTGTTCTATGTATAACTTTTTCATTTAACATACAATGAACATTTTTCCAGGTTTTTTTGGTAGCATGTTTTAATGACTATATGGTGTTCCATTCTAGGTATATATGCTTTATTCCAGGTGTATATATTCCATTCCAGGTATATATTGCTTTATTTAAATTTTCTTTTATTGGGAAAAACTTAGGTAATTCCCAATATTTTGCTATTATAAACAACTTTTTTTTGTGTGTGTGAGGAAGATCAGCTCTGAGCTAACATCCGTGCTAATCCTCCTCTTTTTGTTGAGGAAGACGGGCTCTGACCTAACATCTATTGCCAATCCTCCTCCTTTGTTTTCCCCAAAGCTCTAGTAGATAGTTGTATGTCAGTTGCAGATCCTTCTAGTTGCTGTATGTGGGATGCGGCCTCAGCATGGCCGGAGAAGCGGTGCGTCGGTGCGCGCCAGGAGTGGAGCGCAGGCACTTAACCACTAAGCCACGGGTCGGCCCTAAACAACTTCTAATAAATATTCTTATGTATAATTTGTTAAGTGTATCTCTCCTTATTTCCTCAAGATATACTTTGGGAAATAGGATATAAACAGGTTTTAGGCTTTTGAAAAAGTTTTTTAGAAATATTACATGAACTAACTTCTACAACCATCTGATGAAAGATCCTATCTTGCTGAACCTTTACCAGCATTGAGTATTATCTTTAAAATTTGGTTTCAGGGCCGGCCTTTTCAAATTGCATCCCTTTAGACCTTAGTAAGATTGGCCATTTTTTACATGTATTTATTGGTCATTTGCATTCCTTCTTTGACATACATAATGTATACCTCTTGACATACGTTATCTTTTTTCCTACTGAATTTTTTCATTTGATAAAAGGTACCCTTGTATGTAAAAGATATAAATCATTTGTTGAATGCTATATTTCTCCTACTTTATCATTTGCCTTTTATTTATAAGGACTTCTTTGTTTATTATATTTTAAATTTGCATAAAGTGAAATCTTATTTCTTCTTATTTATGTAGTTTTATGCTTTGAAAGCTCTTCTTTGTCCCCAAATCTAATACATAATTACTTTCGTTTTCCTCAATTATTTTTTATAGTTTCAAGTATTTAAAAGTTTCACTGTGAAACCAATCAGGTATGTATTTTGGTGCGAGAAATGACAGGAGAACTTAAACATTCTTTTTTCTTCCCACTTAGTTATTTTATTTTTCTAGTAACATTTGCTTTCTCCATTGATTGTATTGCTACCTTTTCATATACCAAATTACAAAATTCTTTACACGCACATACACATACACAAATATACACACATCGATTTTGGGGCTGTCCTGTTTCATGGACCCATTTCTCAATTCTTATAGTGTTATCAAGGTATATTTAATTTCCTTCCTTTACATGTAGGGCATTTAGTGGGCAATGAAGAGGAAGTTCACCTTTCTTTTTCACCAAATGAGGATAAGCAAAAGAAGGAAGATAGTTCATATATTGGGAATATTCCACAGAATAACATTATAATGATTTCCATTTTGGAAAAAAGGGAGTAAAAGTTAATTATAATTTTAGATATTGAATATATTAATCTTTCAGTATGTTTTATTAGTATAGCATATTGGTCAAAAACAGGCTCTGGGTCTACTACCTAAGCTTGTTTTCATGCCTCTACCACTTCTTAGTTATGTGAACTAGATTGAATTATTCAACCAGTTTCTCACCTCTGAAGTGGGGAAGTAGAACTTACTATATAGGGTTGTTAAGAAGGTTAAATAAGATCATACATGTAAAAAACTTAGCACAGTGCTTGACAAATAGAAAGAACTCACTAACAGTTGGTTGCTATGATGTTAGTTATTATTTAAAATATAATGCATATCTGATATAACTCTTCCTAGTCACTAACACATAAGAATTGAGGCTTAAAATTTTTTTGCCAAGTGACTAGTCAACTGTCCCAGCATCATTAATTAAATAAACCGACTTTTCCCCACATATTTGATATCACCTTTATCATGTTTAGAATTCACTGCTGTATTTGGGTCCATTTCCAGATTCCTAGTCTTTTCCATTGATTTTCTTCTCTATTCCTGTGTCAACCTCATAGTATTATAATTAGAGAGGCCTTATTAATGTTTTAATATGCCATTGGGTATTTTCCCCTTATTATTCCTTTTTTCACAAAATCACTTGAAAATCAGTCTGTCAGATCCCCCCCAAACTTGTTAGTATCATTGAAAATATAGATAAGTTTAGTGAGAACAAAATTATATTTATTTCTCCTACCTAAGATTGAGGAATATTTTCTAAATTTTAAAGCTTTCTTTATGTAGGTTCTAAGTATTTTTGTTAAGTTTATTTTTAGGATTTTATACTTTCTAATTGCTATTGTAAATGTCATTTTAAAAATAACTTTTAATGATTATTATTTATATATCTGATCTCCTAAATTATGTAATTGGATTTTATATGTTAATTAATTTGAACTTTCATTGTAATGTATTACATACATACAAAAGAATATATATATATATATTTAATTTTATTTATTTTTTCCCCCAAAGCCCCAGTAGATAGTTGTATGTCATAGCTGCACTTCCTTCTAGTTGCTGTATGTGGGACACGGCCTCAGCATGGCCGGAGAAGCAGTGCGTCGGTACGCGCCCGGGATCCGAACCCGGGCTGCCATCAGTGGAGCGCGTGCACTTAACCGCTAAGCCACGGGGCCGGCCCTACAAAAGAATATATTAAAAGATATGTACTATTTAAAATACAATAATAACATGAACACCCACCATTTAGACCAGCAACACTTTTAAAAGCCCCCTACGACCCCACAGTTTCATCCCTCCCTCTCCTAGAGAGGGAACTGCTATCTTAAATGTTGTGTTTATTGTTCTTTAGTTGTTGTTTTTTTTTTGTAGTTTTAACTACCTATGTCTGCATGTCTCAACAAAATTGTTTAGTTTTGCCTATTTTTGAACATTATAGAAATGGAATCCTGTATATATTCTTCTATGAGTGGCTTCTTTAGCATGATGTTAGATTTTTACAGTGCATCCATGTTGATTCGTACAGCTTTGGTTCATTTTCACTGCTGTGTACTATTTCACAGTATGAAAAACAAGTTATTTATCCATCCTATTGTTGTTGGGCTTTTTGGAGTGTTTCCAGCTTTTTGCTGTTATAGCCATTGTACTCTAATGTTCTTGTACATATCTTTTGATATATATGTGTAAGTTTCTCTAGGGTAAAAACCTAGTATTGGAATTTCTGGGACATTGAATTCCTTTATAATTGCTAATAATTTTCAGTTGATTTTCTTGGATTTCCCAGATATAGTCATACCCTCTACAGATAATTTTGTTTACATGCATTGGCAAGTGCTTTCACATCAGTAGTTTAAAAAGAGTGAGTTTGCAGTATTCTGGTTGAGTTTCCAATTTCAATGGGAATGCCTTTAATTAATGCTTTACCTTTGGATTTGAGGTATATTTGTGTCTTTATTTTTGTTTTGCTAACTTGCTTTGTTTGTAGTTTTAAATGAAGGATCCATGTTGAATTTTAAGAAGTACCATTTTGGCATCGATTAAAATATATGGCTTATTTTATTTGACGTTATTATGACAGCTTATAGTTAATAGATTTCCTCATTTGAACCTTCCTTTACCTTTTGGAATAAACCACCACCCTATCATGCTATAATACACTTTGGTATTGTAGCAGATTTAGCAGATTGCATTTTCCAAAGATGGCCACGCCAATAATTTATTCTGTCCTTCATACTTTTCATACAATGTGACTTACACTCCTGCCACCCAAAGATGGGATCTGTGTCCCCTCCTCTCAAATCTAGCTGGAGCTTGTGATTGCCTCAACCAATGGAGTATAGCAGAAGTGATGCTATGTGACTTTCAAAACTCTCATAAAAAGGATGCAACTTTGGCTTGCCTCCATGTTTAGAGGTTGCCCAGGCTGCATGACCAAGTACACAGAAACTGAGACCTTCCATCAGTAGTTACAACCAACCTGCCAGCCATGTAGTGAGCCACCCTGGAAGTGAATCCTCCAGCCCAGTCAAGCCTTCAGATAACTGCAGCTCTAGCCAA